GCAAGCATGCGGTATGCAGAGTTCCAACAACGAACGGAAGGTGGTGAAAGGCGAGAAAGACCGTATTCAGAACGAAGAAAATGGAAACCACGACCTCAACCTCAACCTCAACCTCAACCATCTTGTGTCTCGGAGAACTAGAACAGCAAGATTCCCCTGTTCTATCCGATGTAGGACTTGAAGTCGGATTTGAACAACTCCGAGGTGGATGTACTGCATATGGCTCCTTCGTAGTTCTTCATAACTTTCTTCCTGGATGAAGGGCCTTTCAACTTGCGTTTCTCCTACGCAAAGGACGGCTTCTTCTGATCTGTGAACATAAACTCGATGATGAGCATCATCTCGTCTAGTTCTGTATAACACCTCGGCTGGTGCTATATTTGCTCGTTCCGCCATAGACAATTGTAACTGCACTTCAGGAGAGAGCTGCTGCTCTAAGGTATTTGATGGTGAAGGACGTCCCCTTAGTCGTTGAAGTGCGTTTCTTGCTCTTCTTTGCAAAACATAGTTTCGTCGTTGGTCCTGACGATACTCTCTGATCTGATCTTCAAATAGTGGTGCTCCAGGTGTTGCTGTTGTTGGCCGAGGTTGGTTGGTAACTCGTGGCAGGGTCACCGTCCTTGTCCTGGATGTTGAGGCCATTATGAATTCTTAAGCCTGAGTTTATCAAGCTCGTCTTGTAGCAACTTGTTTGGATCACGATGAACTCTGAGAAGTCCCTTCCCTTCTTTTGGCTTCTCCTTTGGTCCGAGTGAGAGTTTTGCGATTTTTGCAACAAGATCGTCGGTTGAAAGTGCTGGAGACTTCTGGGCTTCCAAAGCTCGGATTCTTCCTTCAAGTGCTTCAACCTGTTTTGACAATCTTAAACAAAGTTGAATTATGCTGTTATTCTGACGAATCAGTGTTTTGCAAAGAAGAGCAAGAAACGCACTTCAACGACTAAGGGGACGTCCTTCACCATCAAATACCTTAGAGCAGCAGCTCTCTCCTGAAGTGCAGTTACAATTGTCTATGGCGGAACGAGCAAATATAGCACCAGCCGAGGTGTTATACAGAACTAGACGAGATGATGCTCATCATCGAGTTTATGTTCACAGATCAGAAGAAGCCGTCCTTTGCGTAGGAGAAACGCAAGTTGAAAGGCCCTTCATCCAGGAAGAAAGTTATGAAGAACTACGAAGGAGCCATATGCAGTACATCCACCTCGGAGTTGTTCAAATCCGACTTCAAGTCCTACATCGGATAGAACAGGGGAATCTTGCTGTTCTAGTTCTCCGAGACACAAGATGGACGGGAGATCAAGCGACCTTCGCATCTATGGAAGTTGATCTTACACGAGGAATACAGATGGTCTACATAGTTCCTAATACTATGATGACTATTGGAGATTTCTACAATCATGTGCAGATCGTGATTCAGACAAGGGGATATGAGAATTGGCAAGGAGGTGAAGCCAACTTATTGATTACTCGAGGATTAGTCGGCAGATTATCCAACACTCCTAACGTTGGATTTGCATATGAAATTCAAGGAGTTACTGAATTTCTAACATCTCGAGGAATCAAAGCGATCCCAGGAGAACAAGTTCCCACTGATGTCTTGCGAGGACGTAACTGGATTATCCGACCACCAGTCAGAAGGATACATCCTCAATAGCCTACAACAGCTGTCTCTCGAAATTTACCTGGAGGAAATTTCAGCCTGCGATTCGGAGATTATGTAGCCGCTCAACGTGCAGATCCAGTTCATTATGATGCAAATGATAATGAAATTATGCAATCTGACGATGACGCTCAATCTATTCAGAATGAGTCCCGTAATCAGCAAGAGACACTGTTATACCTCGAAGAGCAAACAAGCCAGAAGGAAGACCTCAATATTCTTACAGATAAGGATATTTGGGATACGCTTGGCCAGCCTAGTGGCAAATATGATTATCTTGTCAAATACAATGCTCCCAGCCACTACTCTGGAAGAAGTTTTGAAGAAGAGTGCCAACAAATATTGGCAACTGGATGGGAATCAGATGATGATTATCCTTTGGGCTATAGTTCCACATATATCCCTCATCCTGATGACTCAACAGACTATCCAGTCATGAAGGACATAAACCAACAAGAAGAGACCTTGCTATTCTTTGAAGAACAACAAAATGTTTTCAAAGAAACTCTTGAAGAAGCAAGCATGCGGTATGCAGAGTTCCAACAACGAACGGAAGGTGGTGAAAGGCGCTGAAATTTCCTCCAGGTAAATTTCGAGAGACAGCTGTTGTAGGCTGTTGAGGATGTATCCTTCTGACTGGTGGTCGGATAATCCAGTTACGTCCTCGCAAGACATCAGTGGGAACTTGTTCTCCTGGGATTGCTTTGACTCCTCGAGATGTTAGAAATTCAGTAACTCCTTGAATTTCATATGAAATTGAGGATCAATCCAGCGACTTGATGGCTCTGTCTGGGAGAGGATGATCCGTTCATGTCTCTGAAGGGCTGGATAAGTTCTTCGAGTTGCAAGTTGAAAGGCCCTTCATCCAGGAAGAAAGTTATGAAGAACTACGAACGAGCCATATGCAGTACATCCACCTCGGAGTTGTTCAAATCCGACTTCAAGTCCTACATCGGATAGAACAGGGGAATCTTGCTGTTCTAGTTCTCCGAGACACAAGATGAACGGGAGATCAAGCGACCTTCGCATCTATGGAAGTTGATCTTACACGAGGAATACAGATGGTCTACATAGTTCCTAATACTATGATGACTATTGGGGATTTCTACAATCATGTGCAGATCGTGATTCAGACAAGGGGATATGAGAATTGGCAAGGAGGTGAAGCCAACATCGTACCACAGCTTTCATCGTAAATTCTGGTACGTACATTGATCCCGTCACGAAGGATGAGAAACGTGGCAAGGAACGATTGGTGTGTAATTATAAAAGGTTGTTTATTGGAGAAGAGTTATCCTCTAAACTCTGGTCGAAGATGCCAGGTGACCTCGGAGAAAGAATCAAGAAAGGATTTGCAGAACGACACGGTGCAAATACAATTGGCGTCGTTCCCCGAATTAATGATGCAGCTCAAAACCTATGGAATCATAGGCGAAGACCCTATGAAGTACTGGTCGCACAATCAGATTACCTGCAAATTGGACTTGACATGATGCTCGCAACTGGAGGAGCACCGAAGGATTTGGCAGCACGGGGAAAGCTGCTTTGCAGTACAAAAATGATGATTCAGACGATTCTTTGGAGTACCATGACCAACTTGTTCTCCTGGGATCGCTTTGACTCCTCGAGATGTTAGAAATTCAGTAACTCCTTGAATTTCATATGCAAATCCAACGTTGGGAGTGTTGGATAATCTTCCGACTAATCCTCGAGTGATTAATAGGTTGGCTTCACCTCCTTGCCAATTCTCGTATCCCCTTGTCTGAATCACGATCTGTCAACAAATTCAAATTCAGTCCTTAGAAGCTACAGTCCTGCAACTTGGTGAGAAGATAGAGAAACTTGAAAAAGGAATTAATTCCTTAACCCAGGTTTTTCTCGAAAGTAAGTCGTGGAACAAAGAGGAACAACAACTAAAGTCAATTGAAGGGATTCTTCAACAGCTTAAGCGAGCACTCGTTGAATGAGTCAAAACGAACTGGTGTACCTTGAAGCTCTCAAAGCATCTGAAACAACTGAAGCACCAGGAATCGGCCTAACAACTTCCTCTGACAAGTTGTCCATACCATCAGGAGTGAAAACCCTGATTCGGCAGAATAACACCATAATTGAACTTTGTTTAAGATTGTCAAAACAGGTTGAAGCACTTGAAGGAAGAATCCGAGCTTTGGAAGCCCAGAAGTCTCCAGCACTTTCAACCGACGATCTTGTTGCAAAAATCGCAAAACTCTCACTCGGACCAAAGGAGAAGCCAAAAGAAGGGAAGGGACTTCTCAGAGTTCATCGTGATCCAAACAAGTTGCTACAAGACGAGCTTGATAAACTCAGGCTTAAGAATTCATAATGGCCTCAACATCCAGGACAAGGACGGTGACCCTGCCACGAGTTACCAACCAACCTCGGCCAACAACAGCAACACCTGGAGCACCATTGTTTGAAGATCAAATCCGAGAGTATCGTCAGGACCAGCGACGAAACTATGTTTTGCAGAGAAGAGCAAGAAACGCACTTCAACGACTAAGGGGACGTCCTTCACCATCAAATACCTTAGAGCAGCAGCTCTCTCCAGAAGTGCAATTACAATTATCTATGGCGGAACGAGCAAATATAGCACCAGCCGAGGTGTTATACAGAACTAGACGAGATGATGCTCATCATCGAGTTTATGTTCACAGATCAGAAGAAGCCGTCCTTTGCGTAGGAGAAACGCAAGTTGAAAGGCCCTTCATCCAGGAAGAAAGTTATGAAGAACTACGAAGGAGCCATATGCAGTACATCCAGCTCGGAGTTGTTCAAATCCGACTTCAAGTCCTACATCGGATAGAACAGGGGAATCTTGCTGTTTTAGTTCTCCGAGACACAAGATGGACGGGAGATCAAGCGACCTTCGCATCTATGGAAGTTGATCTTACACGAGGAATACAGATGGTCTACATAGTTCCTAATACTATGATGACTATTGGGGATTTCTACAATCATGTGCAAATCGTGATTCAGACAAGGGGATATGAGAATTGGCAAGGAGGTGAAGCCAACTTATTGATTACTCGAGGATTAGTCGGCAGATTATCCAACACTCCTAACGTTGGATTTGCATATGAAATTCAAGGAGTTACTGAATTTCTAACATCTCGAGGAGTCAAAGCGATCCCAGGAGAACAAGTTCCCACTGATGTCTTGCGAGGACGTAACTGGATTATCCGACCACCAGTCAGAAGGATACATCCTCAACAGCCTACAACAGCTGTCTCTCGAAATTTACCTGGGGGAAATTTCAGCCTGCGATTCGGAGATTATGTAGCCGCTCAACGTGCAGATCCAGTTCATTATGATGAGATTTAAATATAGTCTATAGCGCTTCCTTTTGGTAAATTGGTAATCTAGATAGCTCAGACTAGTTAATATATTCTTACTCAGACCAGTAGGAATGCTATGACAAATATATGGGAACAAAACATTAGAGAATGGTATGATAAATCAGGAACTTCACGCCTGAACTACCTTGATCTTGCCTCAACTGAAAAGCCATCAACTAAAGAACTAGCTCATAATATTGCTGTAATTTACGATCGTGTCTGCCTCTCAAGCAAAGTTAACCTGAAAGAATTTAGAAGTCAACAAATTCAAATTCAGTCCTTAGAAGCTACAGTCCTGCAACTTGGTGAGAAGATAGAGAAACTTGAAAAAGGAATTAATTCCTTAACCCAGGTTTTTCTAGGGCTGTTGAGGATGTATCCTTCTGACTGGTGGTCGGATAATCTAGTTACGTCCTCGCAAGACATCAGTGGGAACTTGTTCTCCTGGGATTGCTTTGACTCCTCGAGATGTTAGAAATTCAGTAACTCCTTGAATTTCATATGCAAATCCAACGTTAGGAGTGTTGGATAATCTGCCGACTAATCCTCGAGTAATCAATAAGTTGGCTTCACCTCCTTGCCAATTCTCATATCCCCTTGTCTGAATCACGATCTGTCAACAAATTCAAATTCAGTCCTTAGAAGCTACAGTCCTGCAACTTGGTGAGAAGATAGAGAAACTTGAAAAAGGAATTAATTCCTTAACCCAGGTTTTTCTAGAAAGTAAGTCGTGGAACAAAGAGGAACAACAACTAAAGTCGATTGAAGGGATTCTTCAACAGCTTAAGCGAGCACTCGTTGAATGAGTCAAAACGAACTGGTGTACCTTGAAGCTCTCAAAGCATCTGAAACAACTGAAGCACCAGGAATCGGCCTAACAACTTCCTCTGACAAGTTGTCCATACCATCAGGAGTGAAAACCCTGATTCGTCAGAATAACACCATAATTGAACTTTGTTTAAGATTGTCAAAACAGGTTGAAGCACTTGAAGGAAGAATCCGAGCTTTGGAAGCCCAGAAGTCTCCAGCACTTTCAACCGACGATCTTGTTGCAAAAATCGCAAAACTCTCACTCGGACCAAAGGAGAAGCCTAAGGAAGGGAAGGGACTTCTCAGAGTTCATCGTGATCCAAACAAGTTGCTACAAGACGAGCTTGATAAACTCAGGCTTAAGAATTCATAATGGCCTCAACATCCAGGACAAGGACGGTGACCCTGCCACGAGTTACCAACCAACCTTGGCCAACAACAGCAACACCTGGAGCACCACTATTTGAAGATCAGATCAGAGAGTATCGTCAGGACCAACGACGAAACTATGTTTTGCAAAGAAGAGCAAGAAACGCACTTCAACGACTAAGGGGACGTCCTTCACCATCAAATACCTTAGAGCAGCAGCTCTCTCCTGAAGTGCAGTTACAATTGTCTATGGCGGAACGAGCAAATATAGCACCAGCCGAGGTGTTATACAGAACTAGACGAGATGATGCTCATCATCGAGTTTATGTTCACAGATCAGAAGAAGCCGTCCTTTGCATAGGAGAAACGCAAGTTGAAAGGCCCTTCATCCAGGAAGAAAGTTATGAAGAACTACGAAGGAGCCATATGCAGTACATCCACCTCGAAGTTGTTCAAATCCGACTTCAAGTCCTACATCGGATAGAATAGGGGAATCTTGCTGTTCTAGTTCTCCGAGACACAAGATGGACGGGAGATCAAGCGACCTTCTCATCTATGGAAGTTGATCTTACACGAGGAATACAGATGGTCTACATAGTTCCTAATACTATGATGACTATTGGAGATTTCTACAATCATGTGCAGATCGTGATTCAGACAAGGGGATATGAGAATTGGCAAGGAGGTGAAGCCAACTTATTGATTACTCGAGGATTAGTCGGCAGATTATCCAACACTCCTAACGTTGGATTTGCATATGAAATTCAAGGAGTTACTGAATTTCTAACATCTCGAGGAGTCAAAGCGATCCCAGGAGAACAAGTTCCCACTGATGTCTTGCGAGGACGTAACTGGATTATCCGACCACCAGTCAGAAGGATACATCCTCAACAGCCTACAACAGCTGTCTCTCGAAATTTACCTGGAGGAAATTTCAGCCTGCGATTCGGAGATTATGTAGCCGCTCAACGTGCAGATCCAGTTCATTATGATGCAAATGATAATGAAATTATGCAATCTGACGATGACGCTCAATCTATTCAGAATGAATCCCGTAATCAGCAAGAGACACTGTTATACCTCGAAGAGCAAACAAGCCAGAAGGAAGACCTCAATATTCTTACAGATAAGGATATTTGGGATACGCTTGGCCAGCCTAGTGGCAAATATGATTATCTTGTCAAATACAATGCTCCCAGCCACTACTCTGGAAGAAGTTTTGAAGAAGAGTGCCAACAAATATTGGCAACTGGATGGGAATCAGATGATGATTATCCTTTGGGATATAATTCCACATATATCCCTCATCCTGATGACTCAACAGACTATCCAGTCATGAAGGACATAAACCAACAAGAAGAGACCTTGCTATTCTTTGAAGAACAACCAAATGTTTTCAAAGAAACTCTTGAAGAAGCAAGCACGAGATATGCAGAGTTCCAAAGACGAACGGAAGGTGGTGAAAGGCGATCACCAGAAAAGCAAGAAAGGCGGCGGCCATATTCCGAACGAAGAAAGTGGAAACCACGACCTCAAACTTCTGAACCACATCCACAACAACATCGACACAGGCAAAGAATGTTGCCGACACCAGAAACTGATACTGATGCTGAATCATCCTATCCTCCTCAACAGTCACGGAAGCAAAAGAAGGACAAGAAAGGAAAACCACTTTGTCGAACTTGCTATCCTATAAGTGAGTATGAAGGATTTGATGCTGTTCAATTTATCAAGATGGTGCCACATGCAACCAGGCCAATCCGAGCAACCGATGGAGCTGTTGGTTATGATCTAACCTCAATAGCTATGTATGTTATTCCAGCCTATGGAAGAACATTAATTTCTACGGGTTTAGCCATGGAAATACCCTGTGGAATGTATGGAAGAATTGCCCCAAGATCAGGGCTTGCCTTGCTACACGGCATCGATGTTGGCGCAGGAGTAATTGACCCTGATTACAGAGGAGAAATCAAGGTCCTTCTCTTTAATCATAATCAGGAGGAATTTGAAGTGCGCGCTGGTGACAGAATTGCTCAGATCATCTTTGAGAAGGTTTCTTTACCAAGAATGGTGGAGAAAGATGCTCGCAATCTCTGTGACATTCGGAATGATGAAAGACATGATGCTCGCAACTGGAGGAGCACCGAAGGATTTGGCAGCACGGGGAAAGCTGCTTTGCAGTACAAAAATGATGATTCAGACGATTCTTTGGAGTACCATGACCCTTTGGGATATCAACATGATGAAGAAGAATCTGACTCAACACTTAACATAATCGCTATGATGGAGGAAGCAGATAGAGAAGCAGAAACTGAGTATCCGCAGATCGCAAAGATAAAGGCTTTAATTGAGAAGAGACAACAGAAGCAGCCTCATTATCTTTTATCCTCATCATCAGCTGTAACCTCTCATTATAATCCTCCGCAGGATTCAATGATGGGTCCCCCAGGTTACCCACCAGCAACAGGACAAGGTCCTTCAATCAATATTCCTGAAAGACCTTCTTATACAGGAATACGATCGAATTTTCGACGAGGAGCAAACAATGAAATGTGGAATTTGCCATCTGCAATGCAGCAGACCGGAGCTATGTTTATTATTCCACAATCTCTTGGAAAGTTCGATGATGTTTTCATGAGATGGGAGTCAATCACAAGGTCATATGTCGCTTCCCAAGGATTTACAGATGTTCGAGATAAACTTCTTTTTATGGAGAATCTTCTTGGAGAAACAGAGAAGTTAATCTGGACACAATGGCGAATGAGGTATGCAGATGAATATGCTAACCTTGTTGCTATAGGCGATGGAAATGAAGGTACACAGAACATCATCTCTCAGATGAGAACTGTGTTTACTCTTGAAGACCCTTACCAAGGATCAACTCTTATGCAAGAAGAAGCTTATCGTGATCTAGAACGACTTTCATGCCGAGATGTAAAGGATATCATTAAGTTTCTAAATGATTATCTTCATCTTGCAACAAAGTCAGGAAGGTTGTTTATTGGAGAAGAGTTATCCTCTAAACTCTGGTCGAAGATGCCAGGTGACCTCGGAGAAAGAATCAAGAAAGGATTTGCAGAACGACACGGTGCAAATACAATTGGCGTCGTTCCCCGAATTCTTTATGCTTACAAATATCTGGAAGCTGAATGCAAGAATGCGGCGTTCCAGAAGTCACTTCGTAATCTGGACTTTTGCAGGGAAATCCCTATCCCTGGGTACTATAAAGAACCAGAAAAGAAGTATGGTGTTCGAAAGGCTACCACCTACAAAGGAAAGCCACATAATTCTCACGTTAGAATTGACAAGAGAAAGTATTTACAAAAGTCAAAACATTGTAAATGCTACTTATGTGGAGAGGAGGGACATTATGCCAGAGATTGCACAAAGGAAAAGAAGAATGTCAAGAGGGTAGCTGTGTTCGAAAATCTGAGTATTCCTGAAGACTATGATGTGATGTCCGTAGAACCAGGAGATGAAGACTCAGATGCAATTTATTCAGTATCTGAAGGGATTGATGATACTGAACAAATCGGAGGAGGTTTGACAGAAACAATTTATATGCTTCGAGAAGCTGATAATGTTTATTGGCTTGGCAAGGAAGGAGGATATCGGGCTCAAGTTAAAGTCTCACCTGAGATCTATCACTGTCAACATGAATGGGATCAACAAAACCCATTACCTGAAGACAGGAGACCAGAATGCACTACATGTAGAAGGGATTTATCCTCATACTCGAAGGCTTTCTGCAACAAATGTAATGCCTTGACATGTGCTCTTTGTGCCAAGCATTACTTCAACCTCACTACGTTCATCACTCGGAAAGCTCCGATTCCCTACAATCAAAAGCCATTGTTACAAGAGCAACAAGAATACATCCGGTGGTGTGAAGCTGAGATGAAGAGGCTTCGGGAAGAAGCAATCCAATACAAGACTGAACTTGAGGAACTCAAGTTAATAATTAAGCTTCAGGATGATGAACGGGAACTAAGAATGAAGGGAAAATACAAAGAAGAAGAAATTCAGGAGTTGGAAAGAGAAGCTGAAGCTCATGTTCACTTTGAAGAAGGTCCTTCAGAAAAGATTCTTGCCCTTGATGAAGTTATTGCAGGAGAAGAATTCAAGGAAAAGAAGAAGAACATGCTTTACAATCTCACCGTGGAACTGGAGGTTCCAGGAGTACAACGAATCCAACTACGCGCAATCCTCGATACAGGAGCAACCACTTGCGTCGTAGATGCTGACTCCGTCCCAGAAGAAGCCTTGGAAGAAAATACTTATACTGTTGAGTTCAACGGTATAAATTCAAAGTCAAAGGCCAACAAGAAATTAAAGGGTGGAAAGATGTATATAGGGGACAATTGGTTTCGAATCCCTTATACATACAGTTTCCCATTTAAACTTGGAGGAAGAATTCAGATGATTATCGGGTGCAACTTCATTCGAGCAATGTATGGAGGAGTACGTATTGAAGGAGACAATGTTACATTCTACAAGAATGTAATAACAATCCAGACCCGTCAATCAGTGAATCTCTTGGAGGAGCTTGAAGAAGAAGAGGATTTCACAGTGGATCATTATTATGAGCCTTCAACAGAATGGCTATTTCATTCCACTCATATTAATCCTCATTTTGAGCAGCAATTTGAAGAATTAATGATGCAGCTCAAAACCTGTGGAATCATAGGCGAAGACCCTATGAAGTACTGGTCGCACAATCAGATTACCTGCAAATTGGACTTGAAGAATCCCGATTTCACAATCAATGATCGTCCAATGAAGCATATAACTCCGGCGATGAAGGAAAGCTTCAAGAAACATATTGATCAGCTTCTATGGTATAAATACCATAATGGCAAAGGTGGGCCATAGCCGTATTTATTCCAAGTTTGACTTGAAAAGTGGATTTCCCCTTGTCTGAATCACGATCTGCACATGATTGTAGAAATCCGAGTGAGAGTTTTGCGATTTTTAGTTTCGTCGTTGGTCCTGACGATACTCTCTGATCTGATCTTCAAATAGTGGTGCTCCAGGTGTTGCTGAATCATAGGCGAAGACCCTATGAAGTACTGGTCGCACAATCAGATTACCTGCAAATTGGACTTGAAGAATCCCGATTTCACAATCAATGATCGTCCAATGAAGCATATAACTCCGGCGATGAAGGAAAGCTTCAAGAAACATATTGATCAGCTTCTATGGTATAAATACCATAATGGCAAAGGTGGGCCATAGCCGTATTTATTCCAAGTTTGACTTGAAAAGTGGATTTCCCCTTGTCTGAATCACGATCTGCACATGATTGTAGAAATCCGAGTGAGAGTTTTGCGATTTTTAGTTTCGTCGTTGGTCCTGACGATACTCTCTGATCTGATCTTCAAATAGTGGTGCTCCAGGTGTTGCTGAATCATAGGCGAAGACCCTATGAAGTACTGGTCGCACAATCAGATTACCTGCAAATTGGACTTGAAGAATCCCGATTTCACAATCAATGATCGTCCAATGAAGCATATAACTCCGGCGATGAAGGAAAGCTTCAAGAAACATGTTGATCAGCTTCTATGGTATAAATACCATAATGGCAAAGGTGGGCCATAGCCGTATTTATTCCAAGTTTGACTTGAAAAGTGGATTTCCCCTTGTCTGAATCACGATCTGCACATGATTGTAGAAATCCGAGTGAGAGTTTTGCGATTTTTAGTTTCGTCGTTGGTCCTGACGATACTCTCTGATCTGATCTTCAAATAGTGGTGCTCCAGGTGTTGCTGAATCATAGGCGAAGACCCTATGAAGTACTGGTCGCACAATCAGATTACCTGCAAATTGGACTTGAAGAATCCCGATTTGAGCTGCATCATTAATTCTTCAAATTACTGCTCAAAATGAGGATTAATATGAGTGGAATGAAATAGCCATTCTGTTGAAGGCTCTCACCTGAGATCTATCACTGTCAACATGAATGGGATCAACAAAACCCATTACCTGAAGACAGGAGACCAGAATGCACTACATGTAGAAGGGATTTATCCTCATACTCGAAGGCTTTCTGATAGAGAAGCAGAAACTGAGTATCCGCAGATCGCAAAGATAAAGGCTTTAATTGAGAAGAGACAACAATGCCGAGTGCACTCTTAGCCTCATCGACGCATTATTGGTGTCCTGATGATTCTCCATTGACACGACTTTATCAAGGATTGCGCGTAGTTGGATTCGTTGTACTCCTGGAACCTCCAGTTCCACGGTGAGATTGTAAAGCATGTTCTTCTTCTTTTCCTTGAATTCTTCTCCTGCAATCATGTTGATATCCCAAAGGGTCATGGTACTCCAAAGAATCGTCTGAATCATCATTTTTGTACTGCAAAGCAGCCCAGAAGTACACCAGCAGACCTGTGAACTAAACGAAATTGACAGCGAATTGTTTGATCTCGTCATGCTGATGAGAATATTTCGCTATTGATAAGATCATTTAACAACAGAGGCCTTCACTACCCTGATTAGTGTTTACGCTACAATAGCCATATTAACTAGCTCTGATACCAAAACGAAGGATCACAATTTTCTGTAAATAAGTAAAGAACTAATGAAAACTTGGTCGAAGATGCCAGGTGACCTCGGAGAAAGAATCAAGAAAGGATTTGCAGAACGACACGGTGCAAATACAATTGGCGTCGTTCCCCGAATTCTTTATGCTTACAAATAATGATGAGCATCATCTCGTCTAGTTCTGTTTGGGAGAGGATGATCCGTTCATGTCTCTGAAGGGCTGGATAACACCACTACCCAAACCCCATACTCAAGGATTGTTGAGTCCTTACTCACACCGGTGCCCTCACGGTATTTTTTCTCTCACCCTTTAGGAGTGTAAAAATGGCCCACGGCCCGTGGGCGGCGAGGTGGGCTCGATCCGATTAGGCCTGGTTAGGCTAGGGCCCAAGCCCAGCCCGAAACCCTATACCTGGGCCTCGGCCATTATTTTGAAGGTTGAGCTCGCCCGCTTGGGCCGGCCCGTGGCCCGGTCCATCGGCCCGCTTCCTGCCCGAGGCACAATGTAATTTTTGGTGAAAAAAATTGGAAAAAAAAAATGTTCAAGCCCTACCCAAGCCCGAGCCTAGGCCCGAATACCCCTTGGGCCTGGGCCTAATTTTCTGGCCCATGGGCTGGGCTGGCTCTGCCTGAATTTTGGTGGGAGCCCGTAATGCCCGACATGGCCCGGCCTGAGCCCAGATGGGCTAGACTGGGCCAAATTTACACCCCTATCACCCTTACATCTCTATTTTTTTCCTCACCACTCTTTCAATCTCTCTCAGAGAAACTTTATAGTCCATATGACTATTTATAATAGTTTACCTACGAGAATTCTAGTTACATACAATTAGGTAATCAAATCCTACACATATTAGCTTTCCTAGTAGATTCTGAACTCTACTATCCTAACCAAAAAATATGTCTAAATTAACCTAATAATTGTATAAGACCTATCTTTATTACACAGGTGGACTAATCCTAACAGTAACAAACACTGGGCCAAAAGCCTATTGATTAATATATAATAGTTTGAGTATCGTGAATCATTTTTAGGGCATGTTTGATTATATAAATTATAGCACATAATTGTGATTATTAATTCATGAGACTCACATTCCAGTAGTTGGTTGGATTTTTTTTATTCGAATTAAATTCTGATAGACATTTTATCCAATAAAATTAGCAATTTTTTTAATATTATAATTAAAAATATAACATAAACATATAATTGAGATTATATAATTCCATATCTAGTACAAAACAAACGTGAACAACATAGAATTATTGATCTCACCAATCTAACTGGATATTCAATCCTATGCTAATCCCATGACTTGTTAATTCCCTCACCATTAATAAATTATCAATTATCTGATGAAACAATCCAGGATTACAAGTAGTCCACAACATAGATCGATGACAGTAATATTGTGAGGAACACTAACAAATGGACAATCAATATTTTAATTAGACATAATATTAGTTGAACCTCATTGTTACGAGACTCGCACAAATTTTGTTGTGTTAATTAATATATTTATTGATGTTCCTAAAAATAATGAAAAGTAAAGAGGCAAGTGAAGGACAAGCAAACAGTGCACATGAAGGTTTCAAACTAGCAATAAATGATTCACCAAACATAGGGTTCCAAATTCTACAAATCATACACCCACATAAACCCAACAAACAAAACACAAGACAAACCAACAAAACACAGGTTACCCCCCACCACCATGTTTTTCTGGCTTTCTCATTTCATTTCATTTCTTTTCTTTCATCATCACAACCCTCACTTTCTCATGTCCCTATTCATATTGTTTTGGTGTCTTTTGGGTTTGGAAAAAAAAAAGAAAAAAAGAAAAAGAAAGAAAGATTGAAGTGTATTATGCAAAGAAAAAAGAACTACCTACCTTTGCATGATTTGTTTCCAGCAATTTAAAGTTGCATTAAAAGGATCCAAGAAACTCTAAGGCCATTGATTTCCCTCTCATTTCACAGGAGTAACTATGGTGCGTCGCTAAAGAGGTTGTCTCTTTGTCGAATATGCCTTTTTTATTATGTATATAACTATGCAAGTCTTAGGGAAAAGCAAATGAATGAAATTTTTCCTCCCTTCTCTTTTTTCTCTACAAATTCCTCTCCAAATTCAAGATTCAAAGATAGTTGTTTAAAAGCGAAACTAACATTTTCCTTGAGACAATTGGGAGTAGGGGAGGCCAATGAGAAGGGATAAGCCTATCACGATATTTAGATATCTGAGCTAAACACTAACCAAGTAGAAGAAATGGCCAACTGTCTCTACGTTACTTTCTTTTTTTTGGGCAGGGAAAAATTAGAGTTTTTATTACCAAAAGAATAAAAAAATTTGCAATGAAACTCCAAACATGCCCGAATTCAAAAGGGAAAAACTAGTCCCTAGCTTATAAAGAAAGCCTCTCAAAACCAGAGAGGCTAGGCCTAACAAAACACCTATAGAGAATTGTTGGAAAAAACATAAACAGAATTGGACAAAACAATATTGAATATAGGGTAAATTATGCAAATGATCCTTATAGTTTACACGATGTGTCAATTTAGTCTCTATTGTTTTAATTTGTTGAATTTTGTCCCTTAATTTAATAAATTGTGTTGTATTGGTCCAATAAATAACGGTCATTAGGTTTGGTGGACAGAAACTCAAACGATGTGTCAATTTGGTTTCTGTAATTTACACAATGTGTCAATTTGTCCAAGTCAAAATTAGCAAATTAAAACAACAAGGTCCAAATTGACACATCGTGTAAACTACAGGAACCAAATTAATACATTGCTTGAGTTTTTGTCCACTAAACCTAATAGCCATTATTTATTGGACCAATATGACACAATCCGTTAAATTAAGGGGCAAAATCGAGCAAATTAAAACAAAGGAGACCAAATTGACAAATCGTGTAAACTATAAGGACTATTTACATAATCTACCCTTGAATATATGAATGCAGAAACTATACTGTTTACATAAACCAAAAACAGAAATGAAAAATGTTTATAACAGAAGAAGAAGAAGAAAAAAAGAAAAAAGAAAACAAAAGACAGGGAGAGAGAGAGAGATGAGAAGAAGAAACTGGACTTATAAAAAATGGAAAAATAGAATGATCAGGGCCAGTATTTGACACTACGGCCTTTAAGACGTAATTGTCCCTCACACTGGTACATATACTTCTTGATGTCTGGCTCTCAATATGTAGCACTCTATCCCACATCGGAAGTTTGCATGGGTGATCTTGGACATATAAAGCACCACTACCTTGTTACTAAATAACTTGAACTTAAGCTTTTGGGTATTGTTGGTCGACTCACAGGTTACTTGAGTCAGTAAGTAGTGGGGCGTTACAAATGGTATCAAAGCCGACCCATGCACACAACCATATGGGCCACTTATCCTAGGCTAGCCACGAGCTTGTCATGGTATTCTGATTGATTATAAACCCTCGCGAAACTTATCCTGGGCTAGCCACGAGCTTGTCATGGTATTCTGATTGATTATAAACCCTCGCGAAG